AAATTTAGCAAAATACCATTGTCACATTTTGATGTATTTAGTCTTAGACCCCTGTACATTCTCCATCCAGCCAAAGAAATCCCTTCAGTATACACTTACATTTGCTTTGGAAAAGTCCCTGCAACCCAGCCACAACATCTTCGTCAACACAGGGCTTTGCTAAATTCAAAGGAGAATTTCTCTCTAGGGTTACTGCTATTCACTCTTGATATTTTCCCCTCAATCTGGTCACTGAAGGGTGTTGTTCTGTGATGTGAAAGGCCCAGGGTTTGATCCCCAGCACTGCCAAAAAACAAACAAAAAAGCCTTTAGGAAGAAACCGTTTTTCTTCCTCTTTAAATATAATTCTAGGGCTAAAGAAAAAAATTATCCATGATGAATGTAATCATTATGTACTGCAAACATGTATGAATAAAAATAAGTTTAAAAAGAAAAGGCTATGGAAATATTTTAGTTGTAGCTGGGGATTTAGCTCAGTGGTTCCGCCACCTGCCTCGCAAGTGCAAAGACCTGAGTTCAACACCCAGTACCCCCCCAAAAAAATTTTAGTTGTATACTAATTAGTGTATTCACATATAATACAGCTAAAGAAGACTGATTTCATTTTCTCAATGTTCAAGAAAAATATTTATTCAATATTTATGATATGCCAGGCACTATACTAAGGTACTGGTGTTAAAGATTAATATTTGAAACATTCCAGATATTTTTAGCTGGCATTTTTATAAGCTTTCACTTGTGACCAAGGTTAATGCTTTTCAGAGTGTCTAAGAGAAAAAAAAATCCATTAATCCTCTATCCAAAGTACAGCAAAATTCACTGGAACTGGTTTAATCACCCCTGTGTTTACAAACGAAGGATTGTGTAATGGTTGGCCAAACATTGTAAGTGACAGAGAAAGTTACATAAAATGGACACTTCCTGTATTACTCTCTTTTTGTTTTGATGTTCTCAGCGATTTTAGCTGTCTTTACTTGCCAGCATCATCAGTCTTTGCTTTTTAGTTTTGGGGAGCAGCGTCCTTCCCCCATTCATTCGGAGGAAGTCAGAGGCGTGATTAATGTGGAAACAATCGCACATGCCAACACTTTGGTCCTCGTGACATCAACAGAGATCTTTGATTAGCTGATTAAACAGGCTGTGCAACAGATTTTGTGAAAGACAGAATCATATAATGTTTGCTATTATTAGTGGCATTTCTCGGTTGTGTCTTTCTGTCACATGAAATGAAACAGCGTAAGGCCTAAGGACAGAAACTCTAGAATTAGACTGTCATGATTGAAAATCTGGCTGTGGCCCCTAAAATTTCCTCCTTGGTATAATGGAGATGATAGTAGCATGTGTTTCATAGCTTTAAGAGGACTTAATGAGTTAATACGTGGTAAGCGAGTAGAGCAGCATCCGGGGTATGCAACCACACAATAAAAGACAGCTGTGCAGTGTAAAGACGGAAGGGCCCTGCTATCTTCAAATCGTATTACTACAGATCCTGCTTTCACTTATCTAAACGGAAACCTCTGTATTGTCAAGGTTTGTGAAACATGTATTAAGTAATTGTGAGGAGTTACAAAGCCTGGATACTGTAAGAGTAGTCATTCACAAATTGTAGTACTTTTAGTTCACTTCAGTTATACAAGGTGTGATTTTTTAAAAATACAGTGAATGCACCAAGAAAAGTAAGGATCTTCCATATGAGAAGCAGAACATTAATCCTTAGTAACACTGTGTGACAAGTTTAAACTTGTTTGTACAGTCAGTTGTGAGCTATGGTTGAGTGAAGGTGTGTTTTAAAATGTGCTATAAGTCATGGATCAGGAGCAACATATTAACATGAAATTTTGTCAGTTTCATTGGAGTTGTAGGTCTCAGCTTTTTAAAGAAATCTCATCATAGGAGAGGAAACTTGGGTCTATGGTTATGATCCTGAGAGTTCTCAGTGGAAATCATTCAGTTTTCCTCTTGTGAAAAAAAGTCCTGTAATCAACATCTAACAGTGAGATGTGTTGTTCTGACCTTGATGGAATTGTGAGAACTGAGTTTGTACCCAGAAACACTATGGTGAACTTGGAATACTATAAGGGCTTAGTAGAGCATTTGGGAAAAGAAGTGCATAGAAAACCGCCTGAGAAATGGGCATGCTCTGTGTCACATGATGCTTCTGGTACAGCAATTTCTGGCAAATAAAAACATGACACCATGTCCTCATTCACTGTGTTCACTGGCTCTGGCACTATGCAACCCCAAAGTCACAATGAGCATGGAAGGGAAAGGTTTTGAATCCACTCAGGACATCCAGGCAGCCACTGCAGTACAACTGAAGACGCTCAGGAAAGAGGACTCCGGAGCTACTCCAGAAAGCAGCAAGAACAGTGGGATGAGTGTGTTCCAAGCGAGAGGCAGGATTTTGAAGGAGATTTATGGCAATGTGTCTTTTACTGTAACACATTTTAAAAAACTTTAAACAGTCACTGTGTTTTTCAATCATATGCTCTAATTTAAACGTAGGTTTCCAAAAATATATTTTCTGGGCTAGAAGTTTACCCCCAAGGTAGAGTACATACTTAGCATGTACAAGGCCCTGGGTTCAATCCCCAGCACCAAAAATAAAAAATAAATAAATAAAAAGGTAAAATTAAGAATGTATTTTCTGAGTTAAAATTAAGCCCCTTTCTCATTCAACACTTTAAAATTTCAGTGAACCTTATAACATTTAAAATAGTTGCTAGAAGTGCAAGGACCCGAGTTCGATCCCCGTTACCAAAAAAATAAAAATAAATAAAATAAAATAGTTGCTAGAGCTGGTGTATGCTTATAATCCCAGCACTCGGGAGGCTGAGGCAGGAGGATCATCAGGAGTTCAAGGCCAGACTGGGCTTCATAGTGAGTCCAAGGCAGGCTGAACTACACAGTGAGACCCTGGCTTAAAAAAATTTTTTTTTGTTTTGAGTCTGGGAGTATAATTTAGAGGTAGTGGTCATGCATGAACCTCTAGATCCAATCCCCAGTCACTGCAAAAATAAATAAAAATAAAATAATTACAGTTGTCACATCCTGGCTGTGGTTGTTTATGAGTTAAACCCACAAGGTATATTTCTGGGTTTTAAAACCAAAATGTAATAGCATATGTTGCTGAGGGCTGGGGAGGCAGCTGGGCAGCACAGCACCTGCCTGGCAAACACGAGGCCCGGAGTTCAATTCCTGGTACCAAAAGAAAAAGTATAGGTATGTTGTATATATTTCTTACCAAAATTGAATTATAAAAACAAAGAAGAAATGATGGGATAATCACTGATATGTCCTGTATCGACCAAGTTTTTATTGTAATTATTGTTGTCATCCCCTCTGAGCCCGGCCCCTGCAAGACTGAGGCCTGAGCCCAGGGCCTCACCTATGCCAGACAAGTGCTGCACCACGGAGCTATGCCCCGCCCCTTTTAAATTCTGTTTTGATACAAGATCTCACTAAGCTGCTAAGTTGCACAGGTTAGGCTTGAATTTTTGATCCTCCTGCCTCAGCCTCCCAGAGTGCTGGGATGACAGGTGCACACCACCACGCCTGATGAAGTCTTTACTTTTACATGAGTTTTACATTTGAAAAAACATCCAGCGGAAAAGTACCCATTAATCTCTTTCCCATGCTCTGCACCCCTCCCCCACTCATTTTCCCCACTATTTAAACTTGCGTTACTCTGGTGCATTTGTTACAACGGATAAGCCATATTAATATAAATAACCAAAGTAAGCCAGACGTGGTGGTGCCTGTAATCCTAGCCCTCTAGAAGACAGAGGCAGGAGGATCTCAAGTTAAAGCCCAGATTGGGCAATTTAGTGACTTAGAAAGAACCTATCTCAAAAGAAAAACTTTAGAAAGAGAAGGGCATATAGCTCAGTGTGAAGGCCCTGACTTCAATCCCTAGTACTGCAAATATAAATAAATCAATAACCTCTACCCTTCTAGAGTCTCTTGTTGGGATGAACAAATTGTAAATAATTTTATTTACATGCACATGGGAGCCCTGACAAGAAAAATGAAGACCCGAAGGTAAGTGCTTATGTGCAAGGTAGACCAAAGAGTGGCACTGCGGGAATTGACAGGAAAAGGGGTAGGTTAAGGAGGTTTGTGAGTACAGGTTTCTCTGGGCCCAACTGCCTGTATTTCCTGGCGAGGACATCCTTTCCCTCCTGGCATGGGGAGGGCATCTTTCACATGGGATTTCATCAGCTTTCAGAAAGAAGAGAGGATGTCACAATGTCCTGCATCTGCTGTTTTCTAGGTGCCTTGAGATCTGCCAAAGTAGCAGATCTCGGGGAAGCCTGTCCTGAACTCTTCAGGGAGGACTTCACTGCCTCGAGCCGGGTGTGGTGGTGCATGCCAGTAATCCCAGACTCAGGAGGTTGAGGCAGGAGGATCACTTCGAGTTCAGGGCCAGCCTGGGCTACATAGTGAGTTCAAGGCCAGCCTGCACTACATAGACCCTGTCTCATAAAAACAAAAAAGAATTTGCCTGCCTCAAAAATAACCTATGTTGCACCTGTTCATCTCTCCCTCCCTGGAAATCACTGAGCTTTCTGTTGTCATATTTGTGCCTTTTCCAGGATGTCGCACAGTTGGAACCATGAAGCTTGCAGCTTTTCAGTTTGGCTCCTTTCAGTTAACCATCTGCATTTACTGTTCTTCGTTCTTTTGTATGACCTGGCAGCTGATTTGTTTCTGTTGCTGAGTGCTATTCCATCGGTGGGTGTAACACAGTTTGCTTATGCATCACCCATGGAAGACAACTTGGTTGCCACTAATTTGGGGCAATAGTTAATGAGGTCGCTATATTGTGATTAGGTTTTTGTGTGTACATAAGTTTTCAACTACTCGGGTAAATACCAAGGAGGACAACTGGGGTATTGTTGCTAGTGGGAATAAATGTAACTCCCCAACCTATTTGATGTCTGATACACTGAATCTATGCTTTCCAACAATGAAGAATGAATTCTGAGTAACAACGGAGGTTGAGTAGGGAATTTTATTGAGGGAGAGAGAGCTCCTGAGAGATAGGAGGGGACCTGGAAAGCAGGTTTGTGGATTCCACTTACAGGGGAGGTTTTATAGAGCAAAATCAAGGCGTAGGTACCACACTATGGTCAACCAATAGTATTACAGGATTATAGTTGCTTAGGTAATATTGATCCAATGGGGAAATAAGTCATGTAGCAAATGTACATGGATGACATCATTAGCCTTGACAGACAATCCATAGCACAATTTTTTTTTCTTTTTCATCATCACCTTCATTCCAGAATGCATCCTTTTCATTTTTTTCTTTGGTACCGGGGATCAAACTCGGGTCCTTGCATTTGTGCAGCAGGTGGTGAAACCACTGAGCTAAATCCCCGGCCCTGACAATCCATAGCTTTAGTCTTTGATTTAGCAATCTTAGTCTAGTGGGTAGGAAAAGATGGCCACCCTTAATGAGATAATGGTTTATTGTGGATCTCAAAAGGGTGGAACTCAAACTCTTGTTTATCCCTCACAGGTATGTGGGTCTTTCATCTTTTTTTTTTCATCTTTATCTTGAAGCCTAATGTGCAATGGATGCGCCTCCAGCCACAGCTGTGATGTGTTCTCATCCTCTGCACTGACTCTGAGGGCCCAGCCCTGTCTGCCTGCCTACATTATTTCTACCTAACTTAGCCCTTTATATCACTGTCATTTCTAAAACACCCCCTGAAGGTATGTCAGCCTTTTCCAGTGAGAGGGTGCACACAGGAGTAAGGAGGCAGACTGAGACGCACCTAGGGGCCTGTGGAGCCAGCTGACACAGCAGTGAGTTCCGCTATCCCACTAGACAGAGATTCCCAACCTTTTCTATTGCTATTGTTACTGCCTCTATGGAGTGTGTGAGACGTGTTCTTCCAACTGCAGGCTCCCTGTGACATTTTAATGCTGCAGATGTGCTGTGGATCAGTCAGTTGGTCTTTACCGTAATGAAATAGATGAGGCCGCTGACAGAGACAGAAAAGAGGTTTCCTTGGCTTGATGTTTCCTCCTTTTTCCTTTTTTTTGAGACAGGGTGTCACTATGCAGTTTAGGCTGGCCTTGAACTCACTGTGCAGCCCAAGCTGGCCTCAAGCTTGGACAATCCTCCCGCTTGCGCCTCCCAAGGGCTGGAATACAGGATCGCCCCACCATGCCTGGCTTGGTGCTCCCGTCTGTTCTGTTTTGGTGCTGGGGTGGAACCCAGGCCCTTGCACATGCTGAGTGCACGCTCTACCAAGGAGCTGTGGCCCGGCCCTCGCTCACAGTGCTGGTGGCTCACGGGGCAGGCCTGGCTTTGGCCGGGTGCTGGGGAAGCTTTCTCAGCTGTAGCAGGTGGCAATGGCAGGAGCCTGTTGGGGAGCAGGAGGTCACATTTTTATACAGGAAGCCAGAGAGAGCGAGTTGGGCCAGGCTCAGGCTTTGATAACAACTTGCTGTTTGGAGCACTAGGAGACCAGCAAGCCCTCCTGAAGGCTATGTCCCCGATTCCATAATGACGCACACCTGGTCCTGTCTTCCAGCACTGCCACCCTGAGGACTAGGCCTCCACACACAGAGTCCTGGGGAGAAAACACAGCCAACCGTGCATACAGGAGGTCAGCGTATGTATGCTCTGCGTATCTCTGCTCTGTGTATAAAAGAGAAACAGCTTCCCACCCCCCACGAAACTATTTTCACTTCTTGAAGGGTGATCACGCACAGGCTAGATGGAGAGCTGGAAACGTTAAGAGTGGCTGCAGGACCACACCTTTCCATGTGTTAGTCCCACCCCACTTTGCTTGCTGAATTGGAAATAAGGGCAAGGGCAGCCGGAGAATGAGCAGTGTGTGGTCCAGTGACGCCACTGACGGATGGAAAGAGCCCCGAGGGAGCAGGTGCCAGGGAACACTGAACTCACTCTCTGAAACACCGGGTTTGTCCACCCTGTTCATCAGCTGGCCTTGACCACACCGGCTCCTGACATATTCCAGACACTCAGTGGACACATTTTGAGGGAAAAAAATTCAGTCTTCAGGGCGATTGCTTGACATATAAACATCAAGTCTGTCTGGTCATCTGAAATTAAGGAATTTATTTTGATTAGTTCAATTAAGGAAAAATCATGTTCTTCATTTTCAAAATATAAAATAACTGCTCCAATTTACCAGAATTCTGAAGATTAAGTGTCGGGGAGCTCATCTTGCTTTATTCCTGCACCATCCAGGAGAAAGGAAGCCTTTGCTGTGGGCACAAAAAGAACAAAGCAAGTTCCAGGGAGCAAAGTATTCTTATCTCGCTGCATTTTGATTCTCTGGTTTGTCTCTGCTTTCCAGAGTATAAACTGCCTAAAGGCAGAGAATGTGTAGGCCCGTTGAAATCGAGAAGATAAACACTCATTAAATCCATGTATAAATTAGTCTGGCCCCCAGCCCCTCAGGGCTGGCAATCTACTAGGCCACATATTTTTTTCAGTTTCATGTTTATTAGTCCACGTCTGCAGACCGATGATTACAGTTCCTCCTCCTGGGAGCTGGTGCCACTAAGTAATGCAGCTCAATTCCTTTTCTCATCCCCTTCCTCTCCCCTTTCTCCCTCCGTTTCCTGTGACCTCTCTTTCATGTTGCTCTTTATTTGTATTTTGGATTTCTCACCTCAGAGATATTTATATGAGATACTTAAGCTTGTGTGTCTGATTTATTGCACTTAACACTACGGTCTTAAGGTGCATCTATTTTCTGACAAATGACTCAAGTTTATCCTTCTTGATGGGAGAATAGTACTCCATTGTGCATAAACATATTTTCTTGATCTGTTCTTCTGTTGGTGGACATACATAGGCCACTTCCAAAATTTACCTATTATGAATTATGCTTCTATAAACATAGGTATGCATGCTTCACTGTAAGATGATGTTCTTAACTCTTTTGGGAAGATACCTAAAAGGAGAATAGCTGAATCAACCAGAATTTCTAGTGTTAGTTTTTTGAGGAATCTCCATACTGATTTCCATAATTTACATTCCCACCAATAATATAGATGGGTTTCCACCCCCCACCCCACCCCGAGGTCTTGCTAGCATTTGTTATAATTTGATTTTTTTGATGATAGCTATTCTTTCTGGAGTAAGATGGACTTTTAGGGTTGTTTCAATTTTTGTTTCTCTAATGGCCAGAGATGTTGAAGATTTTTTCATGTACAGTACAGTATTTATTGGCCATTTGTATTTATTCTGAGAAGTGTCTATTTATTTTAGTTGCCCAGTTTTGGTTAGGTATTTTATTTTAGGCATTTGAATTTTTTTGAGTTCTCAGGATATTCTAGATATTAGTCCTCTGTCTGAGTCCTACAGGCAGAAAATTTTTCCCATTCTGTAGGTTGTCTCTACATTCTGTTGGTTTTTCCTTTGCTGTGCAGAAGTTTTTAATTTGATATGATCCCATTTGTTGATTCTTGATACTGTTGCTTCTGCAACTAGGTTTTATTCAGGAAGTCCTTGTCTACATCTATGTCTTGAAGAGTTTTAACCTATTTTATCTTGGAGCAGATTCAGTGTTTGTTTGCACATTTAGATCTTTGATCTAGTTTTGATTTTAGTTTAGTACATGATGAGAGCTATGGATCTAGATTCAATCTTCTGAATGTGGATAACCAGTTTTCCTAGCAGTATTTATTTATTTATAGATGGGATCGCCCTATGTAGGTTCAGGCTGACCTTGAACTCACTATGGAGCCCAGGCTAGCCTCAAACTCACAGCAATCCTCCTGCCTCAGCCTCCGGAGTGTTGGGATTACAGGCGTGTGCCACCATGCCAGGTTCCAGCACTGTTTATTAAAGAGGCAATCTTTCCTCCATTGTATGTTTTTGGTCCCTTTGTCAAAGATTAGATAGCTGCATGTATCTGGGGTTGTATTTGCATTCTTTATTCTGTTCCAGTGGTTCACATATCTGTTTTTATTGCCAGTACCATGCTGTTTTTATCATTGTCACTTTGTAGTATGATTTGAAGTCTGGGATTATGATGGCTTCTGCTTTGGCCTTGTTACCCAGAGTTGCTTTTGTTATTCTGGGTCTCTTCTGATTCCATATGAATTTTTTCTTAATGCTATAATGAATGGTATCGTTTTCTTACTTTCTCAGTGAGCTCATTATTGGTGTACAGGAATGCTATTGGTTTTTGTGTTGATATCATATCCTGCTACATTGGTGAATTTGGTTATTAATTCTAGGAGTCTTTTGGTGGATTTTTTTGGATCTTCTATGCAGAGCATCATGTATGTCATCTACAAATAATGATAATTTGACTTCTTCCTTTCCTATACATATCCCTTTTATCTTTCACTTGCCTTATTGCCCTGTAATGTGCCCTGTATTTTTAAAAATTTTATCAGTACATTTTAGATATACACAATGGTAACAGTCACCATAGGGAATTTGTACCAGTACCTGATATATTTTTCTACTTCTTTTGTTTTTTCCCATTCCCCTCCTCTCCCTTCAATGTCCCATATTTTAAAACATTTTAAAACTTCAGGTCTGCCAGAGTTGCCAGATAGGGAAGGAACACCTACTTCCTGAAGACTGCCTGAAGATTGTTTACAAGTATGGCCAAAGCTCTAGGGAAACAATGGTTGGCTCGGTCTGTTGGAGAAAAAAACACTGCTTCAGTGACTTGTGGGTCATAATGTTTGAGAGGCAGTAATTAGGCAGGGTGAAAAAAGCCAGGCCCCAGCCCCAAGTATGTACTTATTGTAGGATTCCCATCCATAAACCTTAGCATGTGCAGACTAACCTGTAGTCACAGAAAGCCAGTCATGAAGTAGGGCCTCCTGGTCCCCAGGTTCCACATATGAAGATCAACCAACCAAAGATGGAAAATGTGTGGGAAAAAATTGCATGTGTAGTTTTTCTCTTTATCATTATTCTCTAAAAATACAGTTTAATGGGCCGGGGATTTAGCTCAGTGGTTCTGGCACCTGCCTCAAAAGTGCAAGGTCCTGAGTTCGATCCCCAGTACCAAAACAAACAAACAAAAAATAGTTTCATGACTACACAAATTTTACATTCTCTTAACCTAGGGATAATTCAAAGTACACAGGATGCTGTGCGTATGTATGGTGTATGCAAATACGATGTCATTTTGTATGAAAGAGGTGAGTGAGGCTAACTTGAGTATGTGCAGGGAACCCTTGGAACCAACGATCTGTGGATGCTGAAGGACAGCTGCCATTGCTAAGGGATGTGATGGGGAGGGACACAATGGAGATTACAAAGGGTGGTGGGAAACTTCGAGGCAAACATGTTCAACATCTTTATTGTGGTGATGACTGCACGGGTGTATATATGTGTCAAAAGTTACCAAAGTGTACACTTAAATATGTGCAGGTGCTGTACTCGGTGGAGCATTCCTGTAATCCCAGCCCTCTGGGAGGCTGAGGCAGGAGGATCACAAGTTTGAGCACAACCGGGGCAATTTAAAAGACTTAGACCTTGTCTTAAAATAAGAAGAGGGCTGGGCATGTAGCGCAGAACCCTTGGTTCAATCCCCAGTACACATGTGCGTGTGCACACACACAAGCAAAAGTGCAGGTTATCATGTGTCAGGTATTCTCCAGGTACGCTATTTTTATTTTTTAGGTACCAGGGATCGAATTCAGGTCCTTGCGCTTTCGGGGCAAGTGGCAGAACCACTGAGCTACATCCCTGGCCCAGGAACGCTATTTTTAAAAAGAGGTTAAGAGTCAGATCCCCACAGTGAGAAACCTCCAAGTCTCAGAAAGGTGATGTGCGAAAAGCAGTTTTTAAAAAGTTGAACCGACTCGCAGACAGGGAAGAATAACATTTGGTGAAATCTATAACCAGTGCGGCCGGGGTGAAAGGAAAGGCAGGCTCATGTCAGAGCCGGGATGTGTGTTGCGCTGTGCGTCTGCTCAAACCAGAGGAACTTTAAGACTCTGGCGCGTTCTAGTCCTGCGACCAGGTCGTTAAGTGAATCAGTCGCTAAACGTACATTACGACATTCAGAACAAAGGAAAGGGCAAAGGAAACTCTGACTTGCTAACTTTGCTTTTATGTGCACAAGTCTTACTTGCAGCACTGTAGTGTATAACAGAACATAAAACTTCAGAACTTACCGTACAGTGCAATCAGCAAAAATTACGGCGCTGTATAAACAAGCTGTACTGTACCAAACAGACCCTGAGGTCCTATCAATGAGAGGTACGGAACTGTACACAGAAAAAGACCCTCGTGTGTCGCAGCAGCTCGCAGGCTGTTAAACGAGGAATGTGTACAGGCAGAAAAGGAAGCAAGAGGAAGAGCAGGATTTCGGGGAAAAAAGGGATGATTTTGGATTTTGGACCAGCAGAATCATACTTAAAGTCTCGATCCTTTAGGAAGCGCGGAGAAGCTCGAGAGGCCCTGGTGGGTTCCACCACACGGACCCAGAAGGGACACCACGCCGACAGCCCAAGCCGTACCGGGGTCCCACCGCCCGGGGCGGACGCAGGCGCAGACCGCCCGGAAGCCTAGAGGCGCGCGTGCGCAACTGCAAGGAGCCGGGCGGGGGGGGTGGGGGGTGGGAGCGCGCGCCGCTCACGTGACCGTCCGCGGGCGGCGACGCACCCAACGCGCCCCTCACGTGGTCCGTCTTCAGCCCCGTCGCCGGCGGAGGCGGGCGCGGGCGCGTCCCTGTGGCCAGTCACCCGGCGGAGTTGGTCGCACAATTATGAAAGACTCGACTTCTGCTGCTAGCGCCGGAGCTGAGTTAGTGCTGAGAGAGTTTCCTTGGGCTGTCCTCGTCCGGCGGCCTCTGCTGCCGCCTCCGGAGACGCTTCCCGATAGATGGCTGCAGGCCGCGCAGGAGGCGGAGGTGGAGTCGCGGCCCTTCCGGAGTCTGCCCCGTGAGGAGGATGGTACTGAGCGGCGGGGACCCGGCGGGGACGGGGCACGGCGGGGCTGGGGGACAGGCAGGCGCGTGCACATGAGGGGCCCGCAGTCCCCGCATCCCTCGGAGGCAGCTCCGCTGCCGGGCTTCGGAGACGGGGCCGGGGCGCGGGGCCGACGGCGAGGACCTCCCGAGGGCCTCCCGAGGGCCGCCCGGTCCCGCGACTGTCCGGGTCGGGCCACCCAACGCCGCGCTCCGCCCGCGGCTCGCATCTCCCGGGAGCGCGGTGCTCTGGCGCGAGGGCTGGCAGATAAGGAGTGGAGCGCGCTGCTAAAGTTCACTGGGAAGGGAGGGCGCGGGCAGGGACACAAAGGCGCCGAGGACGCGGGTTGGAGCGGTGCCTGGTAGCCGAGCAGCGGATACTCCACAGGTAATTGTTTCTTGTCGGAGCCCGAGAGCGGGGAGGTGGTTGACTGTCGGGACGGCGGTTTCTGGTGAGAATTTTCTGGTCTAACAATTGAGGGTATTTTGCGAGGCGAGGAGCTGCAGTGGGGCTGAGGCCCCGAGCTGTCGGGTTTTAAGGCGAGTCGCTTTCTCTGTTGCTCTGGGGAAGGGTTTGAGCCGAAGGTGCAGGGTGAAGACACCGACGGGGTGGGGGTGGGTGCAAATGCTCCTTTTGATAGAGCTGTTAAGGCCGGGGATCGAATGTGAAGATTCTTACAAGGCAAGACATTTAGATCAGGAGCTTGAAAAGCAGCGAAGGTGTTTCTCGTTAGCTTTGTAACCCGGCAGGCTTTTCGCAGACAGCTCTCCCCTGCTGAGGTCTGGCGGGTTTACTTTTTCCAGCATGGAGCGTCAGGCGACGCCTTACCAAATCGAAACCAGGTAATTTTTACTGACAGCATGAACGTAGTTCTACTTTGAAAAAGTAGTTCATTTTCCATCCTTTTTGGTAAAGTCAATAAAAACGTCATTGAATTTAATGGAGCCGCGCATTGAGGTGCATGGCTGTAATCCTAGCACATGCCTGAAGTCCCAGCCCTCCTGGAGGCTGAGGCTACATCACGAGTTCAAGGCCAGCCTGAGCTACAAAGCAAGATCCTACCCATCCTTCCCAGGGGATTTAAGGGAATCTTATTTGGAAAGGGAGTTAAAGTACCTGATAAAAAAGCTGTTGATACTGACTGTTCAGGGATACATGTACTTTTCCTTTTTAGATGGTAAATAGCATAAACTTGAACATATCTTTATTTCAAATGTGTTCATAAAAAGAAATGAAGATGCCTCAGCATCTTCGAAACCGTTCATTGCGTCTAATCTTATGTTAGAGTAACAGGCTTCTTTGTTACTATTGAAAGTCTGTTCTTCGTTTATCTCAGGTGTTCTCAAATTCAGCCTTTGATATCTTATCTATATACTTTGAAACCTAGTCTTCAAAAATTACGGTGTGGTTTAAGTTTCTCTTGTTTGTATTGCCTGTGTCCCTTTCGTTAGCAGATAAGCTGCCTCAAATTTGTTTACATAAATAGTTAACTAAATTGCTCTGAGTAAGAACTTAGTATTGATTGGATATGCTGTTAACCTGTTAGTTCTATGAGAACATTCCCGTTTGAAGATGGCCTTCGCACTGTGCTACGTCCTCAGTCCTTGTTTTATTTTACTTTATTTTTTTTTTTTTTTCGAGACAAGTCTTTCGGAGTTGCCCAATCTGGGCTTTAACTTGTGATCCTCCTGCCTCAGCGTCTCAAAGTGCTGGGATTACAGGTGTGCACCACTATGCCTAGCTCATTCTCACCTTAAAATTTGAAATTGCATCAGATTTTATTTTTTACATTATTTGAGTTCTTACTGCTGTTGGGTTATTTTATTTTCACAATTTCCAGTTAAGTTAAAGTGAATCCCAAGTATAACTTAATACTAAGGTTCTTCGTTCAAGAATGATAATTTGTTCAGCTTCTTCAGTTTTTAGATCAATACTCTGACCTAAAATTTCACCTAAGTATATTGTACCTACACACATATTCTTACTGTAAATTGATACTGAAGGCATTTCTGGTAGTTTCTTTCTTTCTTTTTTTTTTTTTTTCATTTCTGGTAGTTTCTACTTCAATAAAAGAAACCATACAAAATTTTTCTGTTTTGAAAAGCTTTAATTAGCCAGCTGACTAAATAACAATGTAAGACAAAATACCCAAACACAATTTAAAAAAACTGGAGTGGAATCAGATTTTGTGAAAATTCATCTAGGTGACTACTGGAAGTGTTTGTTCTATTCATTTGGCAGTCAGCCACTTATTTAATGATGTATTCCAAGCTCTGTGATAGGCTCAGGAGTGACAAAGATATGTTAGACAAGTCCACTTTTTTTGGTGGTGTGGCAGATGGAATCCAGTGCCTTGTAGTTATAGGCAGGTGTCTGCTGCTGAACTACAACTCCAACCTCATAGACTACTTTAAACAGCTCACATTATTGGGGTTTTTTTGGTACCAGGGATCGAACTTGGGTCCTTGCGCTTGCGAGGCAGGCGGCAGAACCACTGAGCTAAATCCCCAGCCCTACATTCTTGTAGTTTCTAAAAGGTCTACCTGTCAGTTGTCCAGTGGAAGATGCAGACATCATAAAACAAACAGTAACTACTGTATTTCAGGCACATTGGTACTTAATGACCTTGAAGGGCAGTATAGGAAAACAAAAGGAGAGTATTGCATTGCTTGGATTACTGTGACAAGTGCCGGGTGATCAATCAGAAGTCTGAGCAGGCTTGCAAAGAACTAAAGGTACAGGTGAGTCCTGTAGAGCTAATAAAGAATAGGAGTTAACCTGGAAATAGGATATTGACTTGGTTTTAGTGTAAGGAAACTGTCAAAAGCAAAGAGCATCTTTAATTTGTTTGAGGAACTATGTACAGACTGTACATAGTTCGGAGTGAGTGGGGTATTATGGGATTACGTAGGGTACTGGTGGCATTATAAAGATAGGCAAAACCAGATTTCTAATGGTAATTAATATGTCATGTAGAGGAGTTTGAATTTTATTCTGGAGGTGCTGGAGATCCACTTAGGGTGACACTATGGAGGGTGAGTTGATGTGTAGTCAGACTGAAAAGAGGCTTGTAAGGAGAAGGCTAGTGTCTGGCTGACAAATGCTGAGGTAATTAGAAGTGGGAAGGAACAGATTTAGATGTTTAGGAGTTCAGAGAGCTTTAGCACATTTATGTGTATAAATGTTGATAAACAGGTGTAAAATGGAAACATAATAATTGAAGTCTACTTAAAATGCTGTATGTAATAGTTGAAAGCAATACTTCAAACAGCTTACAAATTTTTAAATGGTCTGTTGAAACTAGGACTTGTAAAATTTAAGTTCTTCCAGTCAGATGTTTTGGTCTAAATGCTGTGATATTCTAACATGGGAATTTTCAGTGTACAGATACTGCAAATACTAAAGTGAGCCACTGTATACCCATTGACAAGTTTCAAGTTTCAAACATGTGAATTTTGTTTTTTCTGTTATGTCCCTCCCTTTTCCCCTGAAAAGCAAAGCACAGACTTACATGTTATATATAGGTCTTTATTGTGTGTATGTCTAAAAGGTAAGGGCTCAACATAACCACAGTGCCATTAGCATATCTAAAATTAATAATTCCTGCATTGTCTTAGGTTTTATTCATTTGATTTCTTTAAATCAGGATTCATAGAATTCTGCACATGGCCTTTGGTTGATAACTCAGTTGCTAGTATCCCTTCCTTTTTGTTCCGAGTCATTTGCTATTTATATTTTGAAAAAAACAATAAAAACTATTTGCTCTGTGTTATATCTCACAGTTAGGATTTTGTTGACTACATGCCTGTAGTTTTCTTGATATTTCCCAAAACTATTGATAAATTTGAAAACTTAGAGTCTAGTTTCATGTGTTGGCAGAATAAGTACCACTTTTCTGCTGCCAGGTATGTTGGTACATGCCTGTAATTCCAGGACTCTAGGAGGCTGAGGCAAGAGGGCCACAGTAAATTCAAGGCCAACTTGGTCTGCATAGGGAGGTCAAGGCAATCCTGGGCTACACAGTGAGATCTTGTTTGGGGGGTGGGGGGTGGGATTGTAGCTCAGTGCAGAATCCCTGAGTTTAGTCCTCAGTACCATCCAAAACAACTGCAACTTTCTACTGCATCACATTAACAGGCCCATGTCTATTTTTTGTTGTTTTGCAGTGCTGATGCTAGAACCCAGAGGTTCAAGCATGCTGGGCATGTTCTCTACCCCGGAGCTGTCTGCCAGGTTTTTTTTTTTAAGATTCACTGTGAATTCTTGTTAGCTGCCTGATCTCTCAGTTGTGAAGTTCTCCCTGAGTCATTCACATAATACTGTTAGTACTGGCCAGTAATGAATGATGAATGATTTTAACCATTGATTAATTATTTTGATCTTGGTTCCTCTTTCTTTTTGGGGAACTTTTCAGCATGAGAGTAAGTTGTACAGTCATTTATTTTAATGACTGCCTATTAAATGTCTGTTTTAAACAGTATTCAGAGTAATTGAAATAGTCAGACTCTAAGCATCATTTGACTATTTATGGGGATTCGAACTTTGTCACTTATGTGAAATTAAAGGATGGGCCTGGCTGCATTGCCCAGGTACACTTCCACCTCC